AAAAACACGCAGCTCTAAGGCTGTACTTACAACAGTTCGGTAGAATAAAAACCAGTAGAATAAGGTGAGAGGATGGAACCCCTGGCAGGGAGAATCTGGAGCGATGTAGCTACATTGTGGTGGAGCCCTGACACTAAAGACCCCCTTAGTGCACACTGGGAGGGCAAAGCCTGGATGAGGCATGTCCCCTTTAAGTGACCTGTGCGGTCGTGTAAGCCACCACTCTAGCATTGAGAAGTAAGTGCTGATTTATAAACTGGTGCTCAACCCTTCCCCTTGTGGCTATCAAATTTGGGGTTTCAAGCAGCAGAGGGGTTCATAGGTCCCCTCAAGATTTGAACTTGGTGCCATTTTCCTGGGAATGAGATACAGTGACAGTGCAGCCTCCCTTCATTCACTATTTTCCTTCTGAAGTGCGCTGTACTGGCTACATGTGTGCACCTGCCTCTTCTGCTGCAGCTCTGCACTGAAAGGGATCCCAAATCTCTGCGATGGCTGCAGGCATGGGCATCAGCTAACCAGTTCTGTAGACTCAAGCTTAGGAAGAGGACCTGTCTCCAAGCTCAAGGGCACACACTGTCCTTGTGGATACATTGCGTGATTGTTTAAAGTCAGAGCTGCCTGCATCTACCTTACCAAAAGTCACCAGTCTGGTTTCCCTAAAAATGTCCAAACCTGCCAAAACCTTCCCTGTACACAGCCAGGTGTTTATTTCTCCTCTTCATTCTGTTGAAGAGGGTTTCCTTAAAACATGGGCTGTCCATGTTGTTGTTCCATCAATCCCTTTTTTAAATAGTGTTAAATAAGATTAAAGTTCCCTATAGGATGTCCCTGTTTTCGGGAAGATATCAGATGCCCTCTTTAAGGCCCTATGTGCTCTTGCAGGCTTTGCTATGCAACCTGCTGGTGTCACCATTGCGGATGTGGCTAGGGTCCCTGGGTCCATCTTGACCATGCTAATCTTAAACATTTAGAGCTCTTACCCGTCTTAACCATGACCTTGCACTACTGTGTAGGTGGCCTAGTGAATACCCTCAGACAAATATCTATGGGATGGGTCTCCTGTCCGTCCACATGCGACAAGTCCTGTGGCTGAAATGCTGGACTGTGGACTTCCCCAGCAAGAAGTGTCTTTATTGCATGCCTTTAATGGTGTAACGCCTGTTTACGGAATCTTTGGATACTTATAACAAGGAAGTAACGGGGCAAGAACCCCTTCTTGCCTCAGAAGAAGTCCAAACAGCAGCAAATCCTCTACCCCCTCCTTCAATTAGGGTTCTTTTTGTAACTCCCAAGCCCCTGTATCCAAGCCAGGTTCTCAGTTCCATCATAAATCATGGACCTCCAGGCCTGCTAAATCTGGGAACAAGTCCTCTTCATGAAGAGGCGCCCCCACTTGGGTGGATGCCTTGGTGACTCTGTGGAATCAGTTCAACCTGATTTATGCCTTCCCTGTTCCTCTGAAACTCTTGCCTCACTCCCTTCGCAGAATCTAGACTGGGGGCATTCCAGTGATTCTTATTGCTCCCAACTTACATCCAAGCTCCTGGCAGACTCTCCATGGGTACTTTCAGATCATCCAGATTTGCTGTCCTAAAAACAAATATTCTATCGCATCTGGAAGGCTTATTTTACATGGTGCAAAGCAAGGACATTTTATTCCACACTGTGGGACACATACTATCTTTCCTCCAGTCTGAACCAGATAAATGTTTAGCTTGTTAGTCCAATCAAGTGCCTAATTTCTGCCTTGGCATTTATTTTCCTGAGGCCACTTGCCACTTGGCTTTTGTGCAGGGGTTGATCACGTTGTCCGCCCTGTATGCACTATGGTGACTCTGTGGGACCTCTACTTAGTTTTGTGGGTGCTTCAGAAGCTGCCCTTTCAACCTCATAATTATATTCCTTTGACCCTACTCACTTGCTTGGTTGCCTTCCATGTCCCATAATGTCTGCCAGGCATGATTTGAAATATGACTCAGGCCTTTGAGTTGAAGGGTAAAGTTCTCCCCTTTCTTGTTACATCTATCTCCCCTAGAAGTGTTAGTATTTTGTGGGCCATCCAGCATCAGGCTATGGTTTCCCAACTCTGGAAGACTCACCTGGTTCTCTGTTCACACTTTTGCAAAGTTTACCATGTGGATGTTTAGACCTCTGCGGATGCTAGCTATGGCCTCAAGGTTTTACAAGCGGTCCTATGATATGTGGGCCCATTCTGGTATGGTTCCCCATGGAGTTAGTTGTTTTCATGGACTGGCTGTTTGCTTTGTTGCCCACCCCTCTGTTTGACTACTTTTAGGCGCCCCATTTATAATAGAATGAACTCTATGCCCTGCAATGCAGGGTCAAGAAAACAGGATTTCTTTCTTGCCTGTATATTCGGTTTCATGGAGTATATCACAGTACATCAGTGGATCACAGAACCTCTAGGTTCTGTGATTCACTCTTCTACTACATGCTGCAAAACTGAGGCAGGCTGGCAGTGGGAGGAGTTATACACCGCTGTCCTACAGCTTTGATTGATTTGTCTAGTCACCCGAAAATATCTGCATAGCCCATATATAGAATAATGAATTCCATGTGTCCTGTGATGCATTCCAAGAAACTGATTTCACAGGTAAGACAAAAATCCTATTATTTGTCCCCTATAGAGATGAGGGGGGAAATCTTACAATTCAGACACCTGTTCCTGTGACAACTGTCTAAGAGGGGCTTACCCCTCACTTTTCTGTTGTGTCTCCAGGACAGGAAGTAAAGGAAAGTTTTCACAATGGGGTGCAACCCTTTAACTCTTCCCTTTTTATATCCAAATCTAGTAAGAAATGCCTTGGCAATAAATTCACTTTAAACTGTTTGTCAGGGCAAAAATAAAATTCATTACATCTCTGCAATGAATGCTCATGTATCCATTTTTATTGCTTTCAAAAGGCTACAAAATCATCTTGATCTGCCAAAAATCCACGTTGCACATTTCTCTCTCTCTATGAGCTAACAACACAGTGTCTTTGTTATTCTACAATCCCAACCTGCATAATCAGCCTTCCCTGCTCGACTACAGAACTTAACCTATCCCCTACACCTCTCTGACCTCTTCAGAGAGGAGTATATACAATTATGTATTTCCCAGCAAAATATGGCTACTGCTTTGACTCCCAAAGCCTGCCACTAGTCTGGGTATAGCGAAAGAGCTCTTGAGGATGTAGTTCTGGGCAAGGGCGGTGTCTATGTCAAGAGGAACTTACACTATTACCAAAAGTATTGGGACAACCCTCCAAATCATTGGATTCATGTGTTCTGTGACATTTCCATGCTACTAAATATTCCGCGGTCAGCTGTTAGTGGTATTATAACAAAGTGGAAGCAACTGGGAACAACAGCAACTCGGCCACGAAAAATGACAGAATGGGGTCAGCGCATGCTGAAGCGCACAGTGCGCAGAAGTCGCCAACTGTCTGCAGAGTCAATAGCTACAGACCTCCAAACTTCGTGTGGCCTTCAGATTGGCACAACAATAGTGCTTAGAGAGCTTCATGGAATGGGTTTCCATGGACGAGCAGCTGCATCCTAGCCTTACATCTCCAAGTGCAATGCAAAGCGTCGGATACAGTGGTGTAAAGCACGCCACCACTGGAAGTGGAGACGTGTTTTCTGGAGTGGCGAATGATGCTTCTCGGTCTGGCAATCTGATGGACTTGTCTGGGTTTGGTGGTTGCCAGAACGGTACATGCCTGACTGCATTGTGCCAAGTGTAAAGTTTGGTGGAGGGAGGGTTACGATGTGGGGTTGTTTCTGCAGGGGTTGGGCTTGGCCCCTTAGATCCAGTGAAGGGAACTCTTAAGGCATCAGCATACCAAGACATTTTGAACAATTTCATGCTCCCAACTTTGTGGGAACAGTTTGGGGATGGCCCCTTCTGTCCCAACATGACTGCGCACCACTGCACAAATGAAGGTCCATAAAGACATAGATGAGTGAGTTTGGGGTGGAGGAAGTTGACTGGTCTGCACGGAGTCCTGACCTCAACCCAATAGAACACCTGTGGGATGAATTAGAACAGAGACTGCGAGCCTGGCCTTCTCGTCCAACATCAGTACCTGACCTCACAAATGCGCTTCTGGGAAAATGGTCAAACATTCCCATAGACACACTCCTAAACCTTGTGGACAGCCTTCCCAGAAGAGTTGAAGCTGTTATAGCGGCAAAGGGTGGGCCAACTCAATATTGAACCCTACGGACCGGAATGCCATTAGAATTCATGTGCGTGTAAAGGCAGGCATCCCAATACTTTTGGTGATATAGTGTACCTCCCAGTAGTTTCCCCTGCAATAATTTTAGAGGCCTGGTGATGATGTCACAGGGAGTAGTGAAAGCTGCTTCTCACAAAAGGAACACATTTTTAAAAATTGTTATTTTTATGCATGATTTATATAGTGCCAACAGTTTGCGCAGCGCTTTACAATATAAGGAAGACGTTACAATCACAATACAATTCTAGACAAGATGGTAAGGAGGGCCCTGCCCATGAGGGCTAAATGGTTGCTGAAACATGATGTAGAGAGGGGGGAAGGAAGTTTTTAAGGTACATGTTGGACATGCCTGTACAATAGCAATTCAAATGTTTTATTGTTTTTAAACTTTTAATATTTTCTTCTTGGCTAACAGAAGAGTTAATATTTTGAACTGAGCTTAAAACTTCAGTTTTCCATAAATAACCAAGAGATAATGAGGGGAATTGATCAAAACTGCAGCAGACAAAATGTGGAGCAATTGCCCATAGCTACCAATCAGCTTCTCTCTTCCGTTTGTTCAGTTAAGATTCGAAAATGAAAGAGAGAAGCTGATTAGTTACTGTGCACAGCTGCTCCAGATTTTGTCTGCTCCAGTTTTGATGAAATTCCCTTCAGTATGTTTATGCATTTATGTGGGGAATAGTATGCAATAGGTTTACTCATTTTCCTTGTTTTCAAAATGTCTTACTTTTTTTGTTTGTTTGCATGTAGGTTTGCAAAAATTCAGGTGATTGCATCAGCCCCAATTATTCCTTTTCGGGAAACTATAATCAGGCCACCAAAAGTAGACATGGTAAATGAAGACATGGGAAAGCAGCACAAAGTGGCCGTTATACACCAGTTAAAAGAAGTGCAAAGTAAGGTACCAGAGGGAGTCCAGATTGATGCTGATGGCTTTGTGTTTGTAACCACACCAAATAAAATGGCCACTCTATGTGTCAGAGCAATGCCACTTCCAGAAGAGGTCACCCATCTACTAGAGAAAAACAGTGATTTAATTCGAACCATGGAGCAGATTAACTTGGCTATGAATGAAGGCAGCAATGCTAGTGTAAATGATACAACAATTAGCAGAATTAAAGAATTCAAAAGTCAACTTGAGCAGCATTTACAAGGCCGAAGGTGGAGAAATGCCGTGGACCAGATGTGGTCATTTGGTCCTCGACGCTATGGGCCAAACATTTTGTTAAATCGCATTGAAGGTTATGAAACTCCATCTGTCTGGCAATGCCTTGAAAAAGTATCAAAGCAATGTATGTATCGGAACTTTGATAATAGTATTGTTAGTGGATTTCAGCTTGCAACCCTAGCTGGACCTATGTGCGAAGAACCTTTAATGGGTGTCTGTTTCATTGTGGAGAGACTCGATATGTGTGAATCTATGGTTCTAGAAAAGCGAGGATCAGAAGACAAAATACTAGCAGAAGCTGAAGAAACATCAAATGTTGGATCTACCAGTGATGCTACAAAAACAACTTCCGATGAAAAAGAAATCATAGAAGACAGCCAGGAGGGTTCAAAAGCTCTAGACAAGTCTAATAAATGGAAAGATTTATTGAACCCTGATTGTTATGGGCCAATTTCTGGACAGTTAATTGCCACGATGAAGGAAGCGTGTCGTTATGCTTTCCAAGTCAAACCCCAAAGGCTTTTGGCTGCAATGTACACCTGTGAAATCATGGCCACAGCAGAAGTCTTGGGTAAGTGCATATTGTATTTCCAGTAGCTCTCATAATGTCTTGTACCAATTATTTTTCTTTACTGTAAATGGCAGTTGTTATGGCAGTACCCATTTAAGACTGTAAGTATTCCATGTAATATGTCTGATGTAGTAAGACACCTGATTATATGATTTTATATGTTTATTTAGACACAGATTTGATATGTGGTATTTTGTAGACTAGAGATTCTGGAGGAAGTGAAACCTCCCTCATATTATTCAAAACATTCAGTGTGTAATAACATGACAAAGTTGTCACCTCCTACAGGCTGTCTATACAAACTGTGACACTTGCAGATTTTAGCTGTCCAGTCAGGGCTGCAGCTAACGATAATTTTCATAATCGATTAGTTGGGCGATTATTTTTTTCGATTGGATAAAATAAAAATTAATAACGTTTATATAAAATAAAATACACAAATGCGGCGTTTCAGACATGAAGTTCTCTTCAGAATAAAACTGTATGCACATTTTTTTGGAATCGCACTGCCCTAGAATGCTGGGCATTGCACTTCCGTGCGATCCAGTTTGGGCGATCACACTGCGGACGGGAGGTGCATTTGGAGACATTAAAATGAATGGCACCGCAATGCACCTCCTGCAGCAATATTTGTCAGACCAAAACTGGAAATGATCCCCACCTTTTATATATATTTTTTTAAAGAATTGTATTATATCAGACATTTTAATTAGTTTCATGGATTGTAAATAATGTGAAATGTAAAATCTAAGCCAATATAATAACATAACCAATTTTTTTTTTGTATTTTTAATTTACATTTTTTTAACTTTATTTTTTTATTTGTTTGCATTTTCAATTTGTATTTATTTAACTTTTTTTTTACTTTTTAAACATTTTTAGTCTTTTTAATTTTAGTTTATTTAACTTTATTTTTTTAAACTTTATTTTTTCCCATTGCTGAGAGCAATAGCCAACCTGCTATTGGATATTTCACATTGCAATAGCCAATAACAGGCTGGCTATTGCGCCCGCTCTCCATCAGGTCCTCCTCTGCTGATTGACAGCAGGCAGTGGGGGGTGCAATAGCCAGCCTGCTATTGGCTATTGCATTTTAAAATATCCAATAGCAGGCTGGGTATGGCTCCCAGCTTCTAGATGGAGTGGAGGCACGCCGGAGACCCTGCAGAGCCCACCATAGACTCTCTGCAGGGTCTCCGGCGTCACTCAGGAGGGGTATGCAGGGTCTCGTGGGCTCTGCAGGTTCACACTCAGGTGGGCTGTGCAGTGTCTCTGGTATGTGTGGGGTCTCAGGTGGGCTCTGCAGGATCTCTGGTATATGTGGGGTCTCAGGTGGGCTCTGTGGGGTCTATGGTGGGCTCTGCAGTGTCTCAGGTGGGCCCCGCGGGGTCTCTGGTGTGCCCCACGGGGTTTCTGGTGGGCTCTGGAACAGTGAGCGGTAGAGTGATCTGTTCTTCAGCTCTGACATCAGAGCCATCAGGAGCAGAGCTGAAGAGAAGGAGACGGTGCAGGAACGGCAGCGTGTTCTGGAGGTAGGTCCTGTCTTTTTCTGGAGGGAGGGGGGCCTATACAAAAGTTTTCTATGGGGCCCTGTGATTTCTAGTTACGCCCTTGTGTGAATGTATCACAATGTCTAATTCATCTGGCAGGGATTCCCTATTTTACTAGTAAAAAACATGTCCCATACCACTTTTCCTAGAAGTCTGCACAGGTATTGCAGTAAATTATATAGTTGGTCGTTTTTGTAATTAAAAAAGGTTAAAATTGCCTGAACATTGATGTGTGCATGTCCTGTACTAAACTTTATTGGGGGAAATTCTCTGCAATAGCTTCTCCAGGGTTTTTGTCTTCAGGTTGCATCAAAAATTACAGAGGCAGATTTAATTGTTGGTTCATTGCCCAACTTCATCTTCTAAAGCGTATCTAAACCCAAAAACAAATATTTTATATATTGCAGCCTATCAGATCTTAGACGTGGCTGCAATGGCTTTTTTCTTTATTTTAACCTGGTAATCCTGTGAGTAACACATTTGCTAGGGTGGCCATCAGTGACGTGTGGTACCTCTTGCTTGGGGTGAGGCATTCCTCAGCCCTGCCCCCTGCCGACCGTAGCCCCACCTCCTGCCTGCCGAAGCTCCACCCCGCCAGACGAAGCCCCCAAGCTAGTGTAAAGGAGGAAGGGAGGAGCCTCCCTGTCCCTCACTTGCTCCTCACTGCTGAGGCTCCGTCACAGGTTACACAGCGGGGAGGATTTCCCTGCTCTGTAACCTGTTAGATGCCGATCTGAATGGAGAAAAAGCTGTCTGCTTCAGACATGAAGTCGACAACTTTTTCCTCCATAATTCTAGGTGAGGATCTGCCTCCCCTGACCGCACGTCCCTGGTAGCCATTATTGTTATTTATTCACAGGTTTAGATTTAATTGTTTTCATAGGTTTAGGTTTAAACTCTGGCAGGATTTTTAATTCATTAAGTTCAGATTCAGTCATCTGAAGACATTGCTATGTCAGTGGGTAATGTGTAATGTGCTTGGCAAATTATTATTCCCCTTAACAGTTTAGCTATACACATATAAAATGGGATTTCCTTTGTGTGCTGTGCTATGGTGTGCACATATTAATTGAAAAAAAAGACTGTTCTACAAAGAACAAAATCCTGAATGCACTTTTTTTTATAATGCAGTAAATTGTGCTTTCTAAACAGGACAGTTATGGAAATGCATAATTAGTGCTTAAGGTTAACAGTTTAAAATGCTACTGAAATTTAGTAATTAAAAGCTTAGGGGAAAATGTATACTATTTACTAGTGAGATATATTTACCTTAAATGGATGGAAAGCATGCTTCTCTGATTTATTCCATCTAAACGTTTTAGACCAACTACTAAAGAGAGCTAAGCATTCAACCAGTATTGGTTATAGAACTAGTCTAGTCCATCCAACTAGAACTAGTCCATCCAAGATCCTGGATCTTGGATGGACTCTGTTCCTGGACGTCTGATGACACCATCAGTGTAGTCCGGTGATTAGAATCAAGTGTAAAACTACTGATAGGCTCCTCTGGTGAGACTATAAGATGCATGTTGCCTAGGCACTCTCACACATGCGGAAGTGCTCTGCTGATTTTTACAGTTTGTTTTGCTACATTTACTTATGCTTATTACCTCTACTATACAACCAAACTTTATATTTTACATATATGTCCTAGCTAGGTAGCCTTAGGTATTCATTCCACTGCCAACTCTAAGTAGAATCCCAGCAAAATAAATAAGTGCAGAACTGAAATGCATATATATGTTATCTGTTTGGCCTGCCAAAAGGATTTATAGTTTTTTATAAGACAATATTTGGAGTTTCATACTCCTGCCACACTGCATAGCCAGGAGGTTGGCTTCTCTAGATACAATGAAGCGCTGCAGCCTCCTTCAGAATCTTACCACTTAATGGACGATGACACTAATGATAATCTGTCTGCTTTTCCTCTTTTAATCTGCCTAAGCATCTTCCCTCCAGCTCTCATTATCTGAAAACATGTTTGATTGCCAGTGCCATGAAATGCAGCAGCGCCTGATTAGCTCACTGTTCACATTTGTACACTCTTCCTCCGAGTAGTGCTGTACAGGGAATTATAGTACATAATACAAAGATAGATTTCCCGCAGTAGTAATTTGTAATATTTTATCATATTTCAATACAAAAGTCTCAATTCAGCCAAAAAACACAATTATGCATTTACATGACCATGTAGTAAATATGGGCAAATATACTGTAGTCAAATGTTGTACATGCTGAGCTGCAAAATGCAACTGACCCCCCTGACAATCAGAGTAATTATAAGTAGGGGCGGATTTACTCTCTCTGCTGCCCCAAAGTCAGGTTCCTCCTTTTCTTATTATTTTTTTACTTTTTAATCACCTTTTTTATTTTTTTATTATTATTTCTTATTTCTTTTTTTTATAAATTGTTATTTTTTTTATTTAATTTTCTTTTCTCTTAATTGTATTGCTATCACACAGGTTCTAAAAATCCTCTGTGCGATAGCATTTGGAGGTGACAGATTCGCTTTTTTGAACCTGTCACTTCCAATACAGGTGTTGGAACTCCTGTGACAGCTGAGAGGGGAAGGCTGTGAGTGCAGCTCTCCCCTCTCACTGTTTACACAGAGCGGAGACGTCCGTTCTCCGCTCTGCTCCCCGCTCTCCATCCTGAAGATCTCTGGAGAGAGGGGGGGTGGCCGCAGGGAGCGGACGGACCTGCAGGCTACATACAATTGATCTCAGCGACATCGCCGAGATCACTTGTACACGAAGTAGCGGCTTCCCCGCTCTACATTTAGCCGTGCATGCCCAAAGCAGGGCTAAATGTAGAAAACAACTACCCAGGCATCAGGAGACTCCACACCCCTGCCCACCTCTCTGCTGCCTGCCATCCCGAGGCCGGGCCGCGGTGGATTTGTGGGAAATCCGGTGTTGATTATGAGTATTGGCTGCTCTCTGAGGGGAAAAAGAAGAGTTATGTGAATTCCTGCATCACTAGTATTTTTCCATATTACTGTGGGTCATATGCACACCGCCATCTATTCCCTGAAGCAGAGTTTCAAATTTCTACAGAGTCAAGGGGTGCTAGGTTTTAGGGCTGCAGCTAACGATTATTTTCAAAATCGATTAGTTAGCCGATTATTACGTTCGCTTAATCAGATAAAAAAAAGGCTCCAGTGATGGACTACTAGTTTCTATTGAGATTGTAGTCCATCACTGAAGCAAGCTTGGAGAGGTGGAAGTAAAAAAAAGTGTGTATTCCTCTATAGCTGGTGTTATTCTCCATTGCGCTGTATAATTTAATATTGCTGGGATTTGTATTCCTCTATAGTTGGAGGTATCCTGCATTGCGCTGTATAATGATTATGCGGCGCAATGCAGAATACCACTGATCAGTTATAGCGGAACAAAAAATCCCAGCAATAATTCTTTATACAGGCTGTTTAATGTATTATTGCTGGGATTT